TTTTAATATATAACCTTCATATAGAGCTTGGTTTGCTAAAAAAATTGTATGTATTTTCTACAGAAATTACTGTAACAAATTCATATGTCTGCACATATTTATGCTTTTAATGTTAAATCATTATAGGTAACACTTCAGTGCATCACACTGAGAATCTACTTTCCATTTTACCCCTCCCAGACTGAAATCCTGGGAGCGCCACTGTGTCTTATACTAGGAAGGCTTCTCAAGCAGGTCAATTTACTTTATTGGTATTAGGCTTACAACCAGAAGAACAGTATTTCAATAAACTTGAATCAAGATCAAAACCTTAAGAAGACAAATGTCGAAATGCAGTTAATTTACGATTCAAATGCCCTTTCGCGTCAGACACCTCATGTCGAATTCCTTTAAGCCATTCGGGATGTAGACCGTGAAATAGATACTTTCCGGGATGAAAGTGGCGTACGTGGTATTTCAGACAATAATCCATTCGTCTACCAAATTTCATCTAGATCTGTTTAGTCATTTTGACGTGATCGAGTAACAGACATCCAATGTTGTTCGTACTCTGAAAAATATCGAGAGAGTTCGTGAAAGTGTAGTGCAGCGCCCTGAGTCATCTACCTGACATCGTTCTCAAGAACGATTGAAAATATCTTTCCCGAAACCTACCAAAAAGTGATGTAAAATGTAATCAGGATGGATCAGGTTTGAGCGGCTTCTAGAGGCGTAGATCTGTCTGATATTATTTTTCATACATAATTTTGGAGTTTCAATGAAATATTAAGATTAAAAAAATGGATATATTTTATCCCATTTCACAAATATTCAAGATACAAACCGGCAGGTACATATCGGCCACCCTGTATAAGAGCTAAGTATATTAAGCTGCCATTACAATCCACAAGCGCCACGTACTCGTAATGCAGATCAATTGATTCATCAGCAAATAGTCTACTGCGATGCCGAATGACGCGACATCGCCCGTCTACAATCTCATTTCCATTTAAAATGCGAGATAGGCAAATCCTCATACATCGTCGGCTTAAGAATTTCCATTCCCTCCACCGCAATAAAAAGGAGACTCTAATTCAAGAATTGGTATCCGGCCAATTTTGGCAACGTAGAGGACTTCTAGTAACAGGAAATGGAACGAGAAAGCGTTTTGCTCTTAGAGTTTGTTACAGCGATTTAAAGTAGTATTAAATCATAGATATTGTATCATATAATTACAATAATTAAGATAGTTGAACAAGGGCATGATATATCATGTGAAGATATTCTTCCCTCAAAAAATTGCTAAAATATTACACCTATTACAGCTGTGGTCCTCAGTATCCGTTTCTGCAATATAAGAACCATCTGCATATACAGGGTGGATCATCGAAAACTAAACAGACGCATTTACTGGCAGCTCAGTTTTTTTTTTGAAAAACGCTCAGACCCGTCGATTTTGTTTTCGAGGGGGACACAAGTTTGGCAAAAAATCACGTTAGCACGTGTAACTCCCTAAGCGGGGGTGACACCATCCTCAAAATCTTAAATGGAAAGGGGGGTCGAGTGATACCTTATTTTAAAGGTCTTTCAATTCCCTTTATAATGATATAAAATTAATATACTTCAGTTCAGTAGTTTTGAAGATTTCTTGATTTAAAGCTTCAAGTAGACTTTAATAGGTACATCAGATTAGTTTGTACTACTTTCAGAAGAAATTTGACTAAGAGAATTAACTTAAAAAGTAAATGCTTTTCTTCACTACCCCCATGGTTTGTTTATCATTTTGTTGTTGAAAATAGCTATTGGAGGTTTTTTTTGTGGCAAAAAAGTTATTTCTTGAAGAAACATAAGGAAATAACTCGTACTAATTCTAAATAGGAATTTAGTACATAGTTTGCGATTGATTTGACCAAACTTTGTTGCTAAAATAACTTGTAACGGTTTAATTCATAAATTAACCATGGTATATTCCACAGCAGAAAGAGTTGAAATTATCGAAATAATTTTCGGAAATAATCAGTGCGCTAATAGAACAGCAGAAATATTTAATGAGCGATATGAGAACAGTAACGTGCATCGAAAATATGTTCTAGAACTTGTAGCTGAATTTCGGGAAACTGGGCAGGTCGCCAATAAAAAACCCAACATTGAAAATCCCATAAGGAACGAAGCAATAGAAGTGGGGTTTTTAGGGCAAGTTTATATAGATCCTACGTTAAGTACCCGCAAACTGGAGACTGTGTGTGGTGTTAGTCGACGGACGGTCCAACGGATTCTAAATGCCAATAGTTTTCATCCGTATACAAGAACTCAATGAAGACGATTTTGATCAGCGATTACAATTTTGTGATGATATGAGTGAACGAATTATAAACGATGAACATTTTCTATTCATCACTTGCTTTTCCGACGAATGTTCCTTTTTCTTAAATGGCGTAGTAAATCGTCATAACTGCCGATATTGGTCCGATTCTAATCCCAGAATTGATCATGAGGTTCATACACAGCAGCCACAAAAATTAAATGTTTGGGCTGGTATTTTAGTTGTTCCTTCTTACTTACTTGGAAATTTTGACCGATGAAATGTATTTGGAATTACTGGAAGACGCCATAGATCCTGCATTAACAGCCATAATTGAAAATCAGAATGATCTGCGGTACATTGCGAATACGTTGATGTTCCAACAGGATCATGCCCCACCACATTATGCATTAGGTGTTCGACAATATTTAGATCAGACGTTTCCAGATCGACGGATTGGTAGAAGAGGTACCATTAAATGGCCTCCAAGATCGCCAGATTTATCACCTTTCGATTTCTTTATGTGGGGTCATTTAAAAAGCAAAGTCTATGCCACTCAACCAACATCGTTAGAAGACCTGCGACAAAGAATTGTGAATGAGTGCCTACAAATTACTCCTCAAATATTGCAAAATGTGCGGCTAAGTTTGTGCAAAATCTTTATTATTGCACGGAGAGTCATGGTGGCGATTTTCAACATTACTTGCCTAACGGGTCAGTTCATTCTTCACTTTTAAATTACTATGCTGCCAAATGTATTGATCTCCACTAATGATGATGTATTAGTTTTATTTAAGCTTTAAATCAATAAATCTCCAAAACATCTGAACTGAAGTACATTATTTTTGTATCATTATAAAGGGAGTTCAAAGACCTTTAAAATAAGGTATCACTGGACCCCCCTTTCCATTTAAGATTTTGGGGGATGTGTCACCCCCGCTTACGGGGCTGCATGTGCTACCGTGAGTTTTTGCCAAACTTTTGTCCCCCTCGAAAACAAATTCGACGAGTCTGAGCATTTTTCAAAAAAGAACTGAGCTGCCAGTAAATGCGTCTGTTTCGTTTTCGATGCGCCACCCTGTATGATTTGATGTAACACCAAATCGTCGTATTATATAAATGCTCGCCAACATGTTCCTCATCTGCTCTAAAGTGTTGTCACCTTGTAGATATTTCGAAATGTATGTGGTGCGCGTACATCTCTGGCGGGATTTTAATTATTCCTTGTGTTGTAAAAAGCCGTTGGATGAAAAATGTCCTCCTCGACACCAGACTATATTGTTGTTGTTCGTCTGTTAATCAATACTGTGTACGTAATCTTTGAGATGCTCACATACACCACGTCCCAAATTCACTACATTCACTAAACGGTGAAAAAGTACAGGGATGCAAATTTCATGCTTCCAACGAACATGTTTTGGTAATCGGTGCTGAAATTACCGATTTCGTCTGTCTTAACTATTGCACTGGATTGACCGCAACATTTTCTAATAGCCTAAGAGGCAGACATGTACAGCGTGTTCCTATTGCTTTTTGTGAAAATAAGCAAACCTTGTTGGAAGCTGTAATACGAGCTGTTTGCTTATAAGTTGGATTTAGATGAACCGAAAGTGACATATTCCTATTGCAGTAACAATATGATGTTTGTTTACGATGTCTTCAAGAATCAGACATTCTAAAACGTATGGTATAGTTGTTGCTAATAATAATAATATAGACGTGTCGATTCATAACCAGCTTCCCATCGATGAGCAGCTGGCGATTCGGCAGTTTTTTGTCAAGGTGACAAAGAACTTGACCCTCTTCAAGATGCTACTTTTATAAAAGAACCCTCTTTATAACGAAAGGTGAGCATACAAAAGTTGACTTGTGTCAGTTGCGTCATCTCTCGTTTATGTAACCATACAGAGCGAAAACCTTGGGTGTACTAGTTATGAGTACTTTTAAAAGTACTATACAAGTACATAATGAGCCGTATTCATAAAAGAGAAGCATATCCTCGAAAGCATAAGGTATAAAAGTATAAGGTCTTACTTCGGAAAAAAAGGTAGATGTATAAGCATATTCTTGTTTTCATATTCATAATGATTACCTTATACTCGTGAGGATATCCTCCAGGAAGAAGTAAAAGGTTGACTGGTATTTGTATCTTGAGCGACATGTCGTGACTTGTTCCAGCTTGTAGTTGACGTGGGAGTTCGTTCACTCAGCATCACTGACAGTTGTACTCCAGAGCTTACACAGTCATCCTCAAGTGATGAGGAAACTGTAGAAAATAATGGCAACGACCTGCAGTTCATCGCAGATGAAATTGCAATTGCTCCCATTATTTTGCAAAAGTCACAAGTTCCAAACATAAAAATGAGAAAGGACGATGCCTTGAACAAGATGTTGAAAATACGAATCAACATTCGGTAAACCATTAGATACTAAAGGCTTATTAAAAAAAATCAACAACATGAAATCAAGATTGAAGAAAAAAACAGATCTAAAAAAACTGCTACTAACAACCTGGAGTAGGATTTCTGAAGGGAGTCATAAGGCATGGCTCAATACCAAAACCATCGTCAACATTTGCTTTATTTATTAGTTGTGATCTAGTCTGTGCATTTCCCCATATTCTGGAATCATGCACTGATCCAGGCCAACTGACATCAACACTTGTGGCATCTCAAGTGGCTTGTACATCTAAAGTAGGTTTCCCTTTTCGGTTGATATACTCATCTCCATGGCGATTTGGTTTCATGATTCCTATATGTGTACAATCAATAACACCAATTTATACATCCTTTGCCATATCCGCTTGGCCTCCATCAGTTCATGGTTGGTAGTTGGAAACTTGATCCATTCGTTCGACTGTGCAACTATGCTGTTCACAACTCTATCCACAGTCCGAGATACCGTTGCTTGACTAATACCAAGTTCCTGACCAATACCTTGTTGATGTCCAGGGTCACCGAGATAGCGTAGACATATTTTCATTTTATGAATACATTAAAGTGCTCCTTCTCGAGTCTCCTCATTCTCAACTAAAAATCTGTCAAGCCATTGTACATTCGCTTCGTCGAACCGATATAATTCGACGACCAAGTGAAGGTACGAGGTTTGTACGTTTCAACATCCCTATCATCCACAATTTTCGCCATCATCGTTTGACCACCTTCGTTACGAAGTTGAGTCTGCTACTGATCACACTCATAATTTTTGAAGGAGCTTTCTATGCCAAGTATAAGATTATGAATATCCTTTTACTTATGTCACTGCTTTGAGGGATATGCTTATACACAAAAAGCAAGAGCATTTACTTCAAATTATTATAAATACCATCTGGAGGATTTCCTTCCAAATTTGCAAGTAAAAGGATATCCTTTGTTTTATGAATACGGCTCAATATCTATTCATCTGGATCGTTCCGAAAATATTTTATTCACAATCATCGGTTTGTAAATATCCAAGTAAATTAGCACCTCAATCAAAAGTACTTGGTATCTCATCATCTGAGAGGTCGAGGTTTTTGAAATTTGAAGCACCTTAGCAGTACTGGAGTATCAACTTGTCAGGCTCGTAGTACAGGGAACAACTGGACATGTACAGAACATGAAATGAAAGCGCCATCTAGCGTGAGGTGTACGAAACTTTTATTTATACCCACTGACACTGACAGAACTATCGATGAATACTGATCGTACGGTAAATACATTAGACTTGAAGTTAGAGAATATCAGCGAAACATCATCGCGTTATTTGAATTTTGCACACACTGTATGGCCAAGCTGAGCGTATCTCTGTTAATAGCTTTTATGCCGCGAGGTTTTCTCTTTGTGTGCAAGTTTCTTTTGTGTTTTACCATGCATACATATGGAAACAAATATGGAGGACGTCATACTAGTTTAAAGATGCTCACGTCTAGACGGATAGTCTATTTCCAGCATCTTAAATCTGTATTAAACCTGATATCAATTTTATTAAATTGTGACCTGCCTAAACATGGTAAGGACTCTCTAATTCTCTAGGATCACCAAACCGTAAGCAGTTTCTCATTTTTTCATCGTACATCTTTCCATAATTAGAATTCTTGCCGACATCTTGGAAAAGGTACATTTCCGGAATAAAAGGACTTCGGATGACTGACCCAATTTTGACCCATTTTGAAACGAATTATATGGAGATGGCTTCCACCAATTTGCAAAACGGCAACAAGATGCTACCAACTGGAGGAGAAAGGATGATGATCCTCTTCTGTTAAGTGACACAAAAAAAAGGGTGCTAGTCCATGAATTGGCCTAACATCCCAGAGTCCGGAAAATGACGAAACGACCCCTGCACCACGACCTCAACGGAAACAGAAAAGTGAATCACGCAGAACACGTAAGGTTTTAGAAGAAGGTATCTTGAGTGACCTTGAATAAGGTATGTTTTATAAGAAACCAACTAACGGAGCAAAACTACTGAGTCTTTTGGTGATCGTCAACACCATACTGAATCGCTGAGAAAGAAAAATATAATACACGGGTGAAATTATACAATCAATAAACTGTTAAATTTGCCCAAAGAAAATCATTGAAAAGGGTTTGGCCTAGGAATGGGCACTCTATAATCAATGAAGAGAAATTCAAATTACTGATAAGTGATAAATAGACAAAAAACGTGACTTTTTCACATATACTCGAATAGTTATCAATTATTAGTGTAAGTTGCCCAAAAAAAGTTGATGAGGACGAAAATACCTCAAAAAAAGATCTTATGCGGCCAATTTGTGGTAACGGGTAATGTTTTATTCTAAAAAATCGCCAGAAATCGTCGATTTCAGCATTTATCCTTCACTGTAAAGTGCATAACGGTAAATCTGAAATAATAGACAAAATTTGAACCTCCAACTAGCAAATCTTTTCTTATCTTACGGCGATGGGCCTTTTTATACCCTGAAGAACATAATTCCGTTGTAAAACAGCTCATTTCAATTTTTCTCTCGAATTCGAGATATCTTGGTCTACTATGGAAGATTTACTAACCTCCTCGCGAGAGCAGAGAACGCAGCGATGTTTGCGTTAGTCTCCATTAGTCAAGATAACGCGCCTAACAAGCAAACAAATGCAATCAAGTTCAGCGTGAGATTTCCATTATAAATAATCATCTCATTTGCGTTCGCATGTCATACACTTATTTCCATCCTTTTTACCATATCATCTAAGTACCTATCATCAAAATGATATTTACAGCAGTACAATGATATTTCCGAAAGGGGCAAGTTTATCGTACCTGGCCCTCTGCTTCTCATACTACTTTGTGACATAGTTCAGCATCTTTATTCTGGATCTGCTATGCCTGTATTTGTACGTTTGTCATTTTTTAAGATATTCAAAGGATGTTTTCAATGCTGTACCTCAACTTGACACAGCGTTTGGTTAGTTAAACTAAGAGATGAAACTTTGGTTAACATGCTAAAAAGTGCTGCCTCCATCCGCTATCTTCCTCGCGAGAGCAGAGAATGCAGCGAAATTCGCGACACTCACCATTAGTCAAGATAACGCGCCTGACAAAACCAAATGAATTCAATCAAGTTCGGTGCGCGATTTCCATTCCAAATATTCAACACGCTTCATTTACGTTCGTATGTCGTTCAGTATTAATACGTGCTCAATTACCTGAATCAGTCGGGTAAATGTCACATTATTGTTCGAGAACCTGAAGGCGTCGTCACACATTTAACGCCGCATTACACCTTCAATCTATCCAATAAATCTGTGGTTTGCATACAGCATACGAGTATATCAGAGACATCAAGCTAAGATAATTTCTATTCAAATGTCTACTAACAGACGCCTGGTAGTGTAAACTGCATATTTTTATGACTAACCACATATACAGGGCGTCAATAAGACGTCAGAGTGACACGGGAGGTAAACTGGCTTTAGCCCAATCACGTTAAATCAATCTGACCTTAGTAAAAGTTTTCTAGTTTTCGAGATATTTCCACTAGGAGGTTTTTTAAAAAAACCTTACCCATTGCCTCCTTTTACCCGACTGAATCAGCAAATGGCCTTAAAACTAGCTATTTAATGCTCTTTCAAAGATAGTATAACATTTGTAGGTTCTTTTTACTAAAAATGAATAATTCCAGCTTTTGTCATTGGAGTTCTAATACTTGTGGAATACTACAAATAAAAAATAATAAGTGCAGCTGTCTTTTGCGTCCAAACTATAACCTTGTAGCTGCTGTAATAGCTTTTTATTTTAGCATACAGTAATGGACAAAAGTATATAGACAAATTAATATTGAGCTGTATTTCTTTTTTAACTTGTTTTATTAATACACCAACCTGTATACATAATTCGTTATAGCATAATACTCACTCATACATAAATTAATTCATTAGACTCCCTTCAATAAAAAATTAATTGAAAAAAACTGGAACTATGAAGGACAAAAATATATAGACAAAGCAAAACAATTATACAAAAAAGAAGCAAAGTTGATTGAATTATAGAGAACCAACCATGTTTGTGTTAATATTTTGTAGCATAAATTTTATTATCAGCCGCCGCCTGTCATCGTCTCGGCATAGATTGTAGAACTTTCTTGATATAAGATTCATCAATCTGTCTCCACTTTTGCTCTAAAGCAGCAAAAAGTTCATCCTTGTTTGAATACTTTTTATCTCGTATTTGCTTATCTAAGTGTTCTAATAGATTTTCAATTTGGTTTATATCGGAAGACTATGAAGGCCATTTGAGAACTGGCATTTTTTCATCCAAAAAGAATTTCTTTGCGAGATTTGAAGTGTGCTTCGGGTCATTATCTTGATCTTAAAGGCATATTGTCTTCCATATAGGGTAACATGACATGCTTTAGTATGTCTGTGTATACAAACTCATTAATAATGTCATCTATTCTATGTAAAGCTCCCATCCCAAACCCCGAAAAGCACAACCAAACCATAACAGACCCGCCCGATGTTTGACAGTGGGCAAAGTGTACTTGGGGTTCAATATTTGTCCACTAGGACGTCTAACTTAATGAACACCATCTGATCCAAACATATTGAACTTGGATTCGTCACTGAAACATACCCTCTTCCAGTCACAGATGCTCCAATCAAGATGCAACCGTGCAAATTGTAATCGGTCCTTACGGTTTTTCCTCGAGACTAGCGGCTTCTTACTCGGGGGATGTGCAAATAACTTCAAATCATTTAATCTTCTACTTATAGTTTTCGTAGAAACACTGACAATTCCTTTTGTCTCGTTTTCGGCTTATATTTGTCTTTGGGTTTTAAACGGATCTTTGGACGAAATTACTTTCATTAATCTAACTGATCTAGCATTTAGTTTTCTAGACCGACCACTTCTCTTAAAGACTTCCAAGATACCTTTTTGCTTATATTTGTTCAGGGGCACTGGACGCCACCGTAGAACAACAGACCGTGAAGATCGCCGCCTAAGATTATTGGCCTTAAGGGACCGTTTCTCCACTACCAGGTCCATTGCAAATGAATGGTTTGCAGAACACGGAAGACCTATTGGCATGCGAAATGTTTACCGACGAATGAGAAGTTTTGGCTTGTTTTCATACCGGCCACACTGGGTCCTCCCTTTAACTCGAGAACACCGACGTAATCGCCTTGAGTGGTGCAGACAACGGTCACTCTGGGATCAGGAATGGAACAGTATTGTCTTTAGTGACGAGTCTCGATTTTGTTTAGGCATGCACGATGGTCGTGCCAGGGTTGGAAGGCGACGTGGTGAAAGGAGGAATCCACAGTTTTTTGTTCAAAGACATGTTCATCACACTGTTGGAGTTATGGTTTGGGGTGCTATAGCTTATGGTTCCAGGTCACCTTTAATCTTCATCAGAGGTAACATGAACGCGCAGCGTTATATCCACGAAGTTCTAGAACCCTATATTTTACCCTATCTTGACACCCTGGCAGATCCAACTTTCCAACAAGATAATGCCCGACCACATGTTG